ATCAAGGTGTTGGTCGGTTTGATTTCTTCTGCAGCCTCTCTCCTTGGTGTGTAGATGGCTGTCTTCTCTCTGTACATGTCTGTGTCCTATTTCCTCTTCTTAAAAGAATACCAGTCTCAGAGATCAACCAAAGGACTTGTATGCATGCATATAAGCCTAACCAATGGACATAGACATCAGGGGGGTGAGGACATGAGTGGGGGTGGGAGTAGGGGTGGAGGAGTCACTGGGGAATAAGGACTCATATGTTATATCCTAATGAATAAATAAGAAGAAAAAAAACAAAAACCCAAAATACACCAGTCCCATTTGTTTAGGGCCCACCTTAATGACCTCCTTTTAACTTAATTGTTTCTTTAGCTGAGCCAGCACGGCTCAGTGGTTGAGTGTTGACCTATGAACCAGGAGGTCACGGTTAAATTCCCAGTTAGAGCACATGCCTGGGTTGTGGCTCTATTCTTGGTGTGGGGCGTGCAGGAGGCAGGTGATCAATATTTCTCTCTCATCATTAATATTTCCATAACTCTCCCTTTGTTTCTGAAATCAATAAAAATATATTTTAAAGAAAGATTCTACCTCCAAGCATAGTCATATTCTGAGGTTATGGGAGTTGAGACTTCCATATATGGATTTTTATAACAAAAGAGTAACAAAACGTAGAGATGTCATATGCTTTGTCCTTCATTTATGTGATTTTGCTAGTGACTTATGGTCAATATAATATGCCCCCTTCCACCCCTGTAGCCATTATGGGCTTATACTTATCTTCTTTCCATATCAAGCTGTCACCTATTTCACTGTAGGAATTCTGTCGTGGTGGCCCCCAAACGACCCAGCCTGGCAAATAAATGTTCAGCAAGTGTCGCTGGTTCACGGTGATCCCTGGGTCCTTCTCTCATAAATCAGTGTACACACTGTGTATGACCCCTCAGCGAATCCTGACAACTCCATGCCTTCTAGTTACAGTGACTGAAAACAAACAGGTCCTCGTGAGAGGGGCAGGGGCAGCAAGGGCCTCCGATGCTTTACATCTTCTTTGCTAGGTGGGGCCGCATGTCTCAGAATTGTGCTAATAAATCTGACTTTGTGGGAAAACTATCTTGGAATCCTCAGCGCGGAAAAGCTGGGTACGATCGATGGATGAGGGCATCATTCCTGGTCTCTTTCTCCTGGCTGAGAACAGCCACGTGAGAAGATGTGGTCCTAAAGGTGGAGTCTGGGGGAGGGAGGATGAGTCAGAGGGTGGAGCCCCTGGGATAAGTCCTAGAGACTGAGAGTAATGAAGGGGTTCTGGGTGGCCAGAGGGAACTGAGGCTTGGGACTTTTGAAGGCGATAACAGAATAGGAACAGAGCCAGGTGATTATTACCCAAACTACCTTGTCAACTTAGGATTTGAGGAGGCTCACCTCATTACCCCCCCCCCCCCCAAACCCAGTTTTCTAAATTCCACAGGGAATGACCCCTTTGGGAGTTTTAGCTGACATGGTTTTTCATGTTTCCTTTGCTTATTTCATGCTATTTGGTCAGTTCTACCCGTTTAAGCATCCATCTTTGTCAGGTTCTGCTTGGGATGGCAAAGAAGCAGCCCACTGTGGGGTTGGCGTAAGAATGTCCTTCTCCTGGGAGACACTCCCCAGAGGCTTGGCTGCCTTTGACCTCAGGCCCATCTGCCTGACCCAACAGGCATCCTCCTGACCCCTTTCTCTCTCATTTTGCTCTAAATCAACCATGATGGATCAACACTCAACAGAGAAAAGGGCAGGGGTCATGACAGGAAATTAACAGAAGGGGCATCTGGGGACAGGTTTTATTGTGTATGTGGCTCCTTCAGAGAAGGCTGAGGGGGTTGTATGGAAGTGGCTCATAATATGATTATTTTGGATCTAATGCTCATCTTCTCCTGTTACAACTAAGAGTTGATTTTGTAGTTTGACGTGGCTAGTAGATGTCCATGATGCCTGCCCTGGCTGGAGCCGACTTGGTCATTGGGTTCCGGGATAGCTGAGTTGGAGGACACGGGTGCTTAGTGAGGAGAGGTGGCCGAATGGAAAGCACATATGGATTATAGTGTCAATGGTCAAAGAAATGTGATGAGAGGCAAGCCTCCATTTACGTTGTGCTTTGGAGTGATTCTCAGCAATGAGACATGTCAATCAAAATCAACACGCAGTAGAAGAGGACACTGAAGCAGACAAAAGTGACCACACAAAAGATGAACCTCAAATGTGGCAAGTTCCTCAGTGGCCCTAAAGCCCGCAGGGTCGTGCACATAGTCATGTACTCAGACTTCGGTTGCTAAGGCTTTATAGAAGGAGAGGTGTGGGGAGAGTTTAATTTATGATGTTGAGGCTTTAAGATCGGGATGTGACTCTCAATCCTTTGATTTTTTTATTTTATTTTATTTTTATTTTATTTATTTTTCACAGAGAGGAAGAGAGAGGGACAGAGAGTTAGAAACATCGATGAGAGAGAATCACCCATCAGCTGCCTCTTGCACACCCCCTACTGGGGATGTGCCCACAACTAAGGTACATGCCCTTGACCGGAATCGAACCTGGGACCCTTCAGTCCACAGGCTGACGCTCTATCCACTGAGCCAAACCGGTTTTGGCAAATTCTTTGGTTCTTGATAAATCCACAACAGATTAGTCATTCATAAACTATCTACATCCACTGCAAATAAATTATCTAGTTTTTGATTCATTGATTGCTTTACACATATAATGTCTGCCTCATCTGATGGAATCTAACCATATTTCCCCCCATAAGTGGGCAGTGTTAGCACTGGACAGAAAAGAAGAAATGACTCTTTGAGGCTGATTTTAAAAAAGTTTATTAGCAAGGAAGTTGTTTTGCATACACAGAGATGACAATACAGTGGTAATAACAGGAGATAAATAAAGAAACATTTCAAGAAGGTAGAACATTAACTGTCTTGTCTCTGTTTTGGAGAGGACATGATTGCAATGGTGACTGACAGAGAAGACTGTACAATTATTACTTTGATTGGTGGTTATTAAACGTGGGCATGATCACAGAAACTACAGACTTGTAAGGTTCTGTGGTTGGTCATAAGGCCCAGGTCAAGGCTGTGACTTGCAGGTCAGAGAAGAATAGACAGGAGGGAGGTGGAAGTCTTACCTGCAGCACCTGTTCAGAGGCCGGCTGGCCCGCCTAGCAGCAGCATTGCTTCTGGCAGCAGCACTTACACTGGCAGCACTTCTGCTGACAGCAGCCCTTCCCACAGCCACAGCCACAGGAGCCACAGCCACAGGAGCCACAGCCACAGGAGCCACAGCCACAGGAGCGGCGGCAGCAGCAGACCACGGGGACGCTGCAGCAGCCCCCACAGCAGCCACGGCAGCAGGGGCAGCAGCTGGAGCAGCAGCCGACCCGGTAGCACCTGCAGGAGGTGCAGCCACCACAGCCACCACCACAGCCACCACCACAGCCACCACCACAGCCACCACCACAGCCACCACAGCCACCACCGCAGCCACCACAGCCACCGCAGCCACAGCACCCCATGGTGTCAGTAGAGAGGATTCAGGGGAGGTGAGGAGTGATAGTCAGGAGGTGAGGGAGGATGATGCCCCTTTAGCTGGGGGAGCCCTTATATACCATCTCTGGGAGTGGGAGAGGGAGGACACATGACCACTTCCTTGTTGCTATTTGCCTCCATTTACATGGAAGAATCCATCATCTCTTATTTACTTCCCTTTTCAATATCTTCCCACATTTTCAGTTTTGTTCATTTTTAAAATATTATGTTTTAATGTGAGGGGGAAAAAAAAGTCCTAAGAGTTCTAGGGAAGCATTATGGGAACCAACCTGTCAGCAGGAATGGGCAGACTTCTCTGCACATCCATGATTCTCAGGGGACATGCATTGTGTGAGTGACATGTGGGCGGGGCTTACATCCTCAGGCAGCCTCTGGCCAGGTGATCTGTGGGTTCTGAGAGAGAGCTGGAGGCAGGGGAGGTGAGGGTGGGCACAGGGAAGGTTAAGGCACAGTCCCAAACCGGAAAGAGCTTGCAATAGAAAGTATCATCGGGAGCTGGGGATGCAAAAAGGGTAACAGATTCAAAGGCCGCTGCCAAGGCCAGGTGCCATCACTGGATTTGCTGACCAGTAGAAATGTCTACCTTTTACCTCTTCATTTGGAGCATACCATTGTGACTGGTCTTCTCACACCTGGGCCGGAATGATTGTTTTAAAAACAGAAATAAATCCTCTCACGCATCAGCATTTCCATGATGTGATTGTTGGTGGGTTTTGCTTTGGATGAGAACTACTTCTTCTCCTTGATTATATGAGATCAATGGATGACTGAGAGCAACAGCCCTCGGCAACGTATGCTGATAAAAACATGAGGCAGGAACACAAGAGTGAGAGTGGGCTTTCATCACGCATGCTGCTGTAGGAGCATCCGGGGCTATCACTGAGGGTGCCGGGGACCTGGACGGGGTCACGGTGGAGGTTAGATTCCCAGCTTCATTTTGTAACAGACTGTGCTGCTCAGAGTCTATTTTTCCCAATCTGGTGGGATTGTTCTTCGGAACTTTGAGTGCGAGGGAATACTGTAACGTGATTTAAACCGAATGTATGGAGAGAGAACCAGTGAGATGTGGAAAGGAGCCCATAGCAACTGAGTGCCCTTCTTCCTGCCAAATCTCAAAGATTCTACTGTTTTCCGTGAAAATGAAGATCCCTACAACATGTTAGCATCATGTTTGCTTCTAACGTGACCTTAAAAAGAAAAGCTGAAATGAGCAGTTGTCAAATATAGGTCAGAAGATGTAAACAGGCATAACCCCAGATACCCTATTTGGAAACTAGTAACAACAATAAGGAAGTAACCGCTGGTCATGTGCTCTGGATCACTCGCCTCCAGCCCCAGAGGTGGTATATAAGGGCTCACCAGGAGAAGGGGCCTCAGACTTTTCTAACCTTCTGAATCTCCCTGCTCACCTTCTCCTGAATCCTCTCTACTGACACCATGGGGTGCTGTGGTTGTGGTGGCCGCTGCGGTGGCTGCGGTGGTGGCTGTGGTGGCGGCTGTGGCTGTGGTGGCTGCGGTGGCTGTGGTGGTGGCTGCGGTGGTGGCTGTGGTGGTGGCTGTGGTGGTTGCACCAGCTGCAGGTGCTACCGGGTTGGCTGCTGCTCCAGCTGCTGCCCCTGCTGCCGTGGCTGCTGTGGGGGCTGCTGCAGCGTCCCCGTGGTCTGCTGCTGCCGCCGCACCTGTGGCTGTGGCTCCTGTGGCTGTGGCTCCTGTGGCTGTGGCTGTGGGAAGGGCTGCTGTCAGCAGAAGTGCTGCCAGTGTAAGTGCTGCTGCCAGAAGCAATGCTGCTGCTAGGTGGCCAGCAGAGCCTCTGTCCCCGGGCAGCAGAGGAGGAGGCCTCTCCTCCACTCTGTCCACCTGCCCTTCCTGCTATCCCCTGGCATTCTGGGACTTAGCTCTTGGCCTGGGACTTTGGTCCTGAATGTGGGTTCCTGTCCTTTCTGCTTTCTGTGTTTTTAATTTTCCTTCCCAAAAAGTTTCCAGTTCAATAGTTTAGAGCCAAAACAAAGACACAACTACGGCCTTGTTCCTAGAGAAAAGCTAACATCACTGAGCTTAATCCAATAGGGTCTCTGTTCCCAACATTCTCTCCCTGTGTCTGATTATTTCCTCCCATTTATATGTTTTTATCTCTGCCCCCTTTCCCATTTGTATTCTTATTTGTTAACAGCTGTTATTCTTTACATTTCCAAATAAAATAAAATAATCGTTAAAAGTTTCCCTTTGCCTTTATTTATGTTTGACCATATCCTACCTCCTGGGAAATCTTAATCTCCCTTAAAAGGCTGTCAGCAGAAGTGCTGCCAGTGTAAGTGCTGTTGTCAGGAGCAACGGTGCTGCTAGGCGGCCTGTCTGCAGGTGCTGGTGGTACCCAGTCTGTTGGTTAGACTGGCCTCCTCTCCATCCTCTTGCTCTCCCCCCAACCCCTGTCCTCAGTCCTGTGTTCTCTTCCTGTCTTTCTTTGAAGTTTTTCATCTGAAAAGTTTTCAAACTATTAAGCACCATCTCATGGAAAGGATATCAGCTCACCCCAGCACCAGAGTTATTGTGCAAATCACTCAACTCAGCCACATGAAATCCTAATGTTGGGTTAGAGGGCTATGCTCACTGCCCGTCAGCTCTGTTTTTGTTCTGTTTCCCTGTCCACATGCATCGTTTTCCCCTTTATGTGTGTATACACTGAGTGGCCAGATTATTATGATCTCTGAACACATAATAATCTGGTTACTCAGTGTAAATCCTATATAATAAAAGGCTAATATGCAAATTGTTCCCTCAACCAGGAGTTCGACTAGCAGGCAGACCCACCAACCTCCCATGTCCCCTCCCTCTAGCCAGGCTGGCTGGACCCCACCCATGCACAAATTCATGCACCAGGCCTCTAATATATATATATTAGAGATCTTAATAATCTGGCCACATATGTGTTCTCTAGTGGTCACATAATGTTAACCAAATTTCCTAATAAAATGAAAACTACATTCTCATAAAAAACATTCTTTATTTGCTCTTATGGGTTTGAGCACACAATTTCCTGGTTTGTTGTTCTAAAACTTGAGAACTTACCTTTGAACAAAGCCTTCACAGCCCTTGCATGAGTGTCATCACACACCAGGGTCCTGTAAGGAGCTCTGGCGAGGTCTCTGGGGACCATGGTGGCCCCACAGTGACACATATTTTTTTGCCATTATAGTCCCCCTATGTTTCATGTTCCTTAATTCCCCCTTTCTTCCTCCTTTAATTCTTTTTGTGTTAATATTTTTCTATACAACATGTTATATTCCTTTTTTCTGTATAGCAATTGTATAATCTGTTTCCAATGTTTTAGGGAGTTAGACTTGAAACATTAACTCTTAAATAAACAAAGCAATGGTGTTTGAGGGTGGTGGTGAGTGTGGTCTGCCCGGGGACAGGCGGTAAGGGGGAGAATTACCTGAAGAGAACTTGAAAACACTAATAAAACTGATTAAAAGCCTGCCTTCATTTTATTAGCCCCATGACCCAGTAGTCCTAAACTACAGTTCTAAGCTATGATGGTGATAAAATCTTCGCCTCTGCCCGATGGACTGCTAGCAGACTCCCTGCTTGATGACTAGTCACTAATTTTTATCCTCCTCCAGAGCAGTGTAAAAATCTTTAGTTTTGAACATTCTTCTACTGGCTCATACTCTTGTTCAGGATTTTAGTCTCCTGTTTGAAAATGCAAGATGAAGATAAGTACAGATGCTCTTCGAATTATGATGGGCTGTGTCCTAATAAGCCACTGCCCATCAGCACCACTTTATTTTTAAAAATTATTTTTTATGTTTTTTGTTTTAAAATATATGTATATATTTTATTGATTTTTTACAGAGGGAAAGGGAGAGGGAGAGAGAGAGAGCTAGAAACATCAATGAGAGAGAAACATCCATCACTGCTTCCTACATGCCCCCACCTGGGGATGCGCCCACAACCAAGGTACATGCCCTTGACCGGAATTGAACTGGGACCTTTCAGTCTGCAGGCCGACGCTCTATCCACTGAGCCACACCGGTTTCAGCAGCACCACTTTAAATTACCACTTCTCCCTTTCTCTTTTTAAAATTTAGCCTGTAAAAATGGGCCCCGGATTTATGTAAGTGCTGGCTTATGAAGACAAATTCCTGAGGTAAATTCCTCTGTCACTGCCCTGATTAATTTTCTTTGTGACCCTCCCCAACCCTCCCTCCCTCACCCCACCCTGTAATTCTGTATTATGTTCTGTGACACTCATGGAGGATGCAGCTCCTGGGCTGCCACTGAAACCATCATTCAGGTCACCGGAGAGAGCGCATGACAGATCCAGTGCTTCCTTGTCTATCTGGTCTCCTGTTACAATTTTTTACCAATGTGACCGCTCATTAAAAAAAAAATGTATTTCTATCCAGAAATGTTAAATGGTTTGGAAGGTGAGGATTTTTCTAACATCTAGCCTATTGTTGCTTTAATGGAAGTAAGTCTTTCTTAATATAATATTTTTAAAAAACACTTGTGAAATGTTAAGCAACCCGGAAACCCCCCTTCTCCTTCTTCAAGCTCAGTCCTCCAATCCCATCGCCCTGATTGAATCCAATGAGGGGTGGGGGTGGCATTGAGGCCATCTCCCTTAGAACAGAAAAGAAAACAGGATGATGCTTGAAAAATCACCCCCACACTAGCTCAAAATCGATGTAAGTGGTTATTTTGTTTGTTAATGTAAAGCTGGCCTTCACCTTCAACTATTTGTTGAGTAAGGACACCAAAGTAGATTATGAAATAGTGATCCCTAAGACCACACAAATCACATGTTTGAGTTAACGAGTGGGAAATAATTACACCCACCAGAGCTATCTGGACTGGATAATATCACAGACATTAAACACAGGGGAAAATTTTCCATTTTGACATATATGAGGCTGCCCCAAATCTGAACGACTCCTCTCCCCCCCCCCCCCCCCCCGCTCCCTTCAGGCACTTAAAATAAAAGCATCACCATTCTGCTTCTGTGAGTAATCTTTCTTTAGAGTGCCCCTTCCCTTACTAAGCCCTCTGGGGTTACAACTAATATCCATTTTCATGATTCTGACTTTATGTCATTTAAGGTAGACCAAAGTACCAGTTATCCTACTTAGATAATCTAATGGGTGTGCAATCAGGGCCCATCTGGCGGGTCCCAGCGGGCTGAGTGCAATGGCTTCCTGCCAAGAGAGCCCCAGTGACACTTTGCATTTCCCCGTGAGGACGGGAAAGACGGCAGCACAGCAGCTGAGGTTTTGGTGACCTCAGAGGGGCCGCTTAGCAGCACTGGCTTCTCCCTTTCCTGTTTCATGCCTGTACTTCCCGCTCGTAATGGTGACGAGGCTCAGGACACACTGCTTCAAAACGTGGCACCGTGGCATACTGACTGTACTGGGAGCAACCTGAGATGTAGCAGCTGCAGGAGCAAGTCATAAGACCCTCATGTGAGAGGTGCCCCCCATACCCGCAGGAAAGGAGCAGCCTTCTCTCTGAAGATGAAGGGGCACTGAGAAGGGTCTGAATGGATGGGCCACCCTATTCCCCCCAGTTTATTCCTCTTGTTGGTTTTGTACGATCACATTCTTTCATGACTCTACATTCTTCACCAGCAGTATAAAAACCCCTAGCCGGTTTGGCTCAGTGGACAGTGTCAACTTGCGGACCAAAGAGTCTTGTGTTCAATTCCAGTCAAGGGCACATACCTCAGTGGCAGGCTTTTCACTGGCCCTGGCCTGTTTGGGCTCTGGTCAGGGCGCGTGCAGGAGGCAACCAATCGATGTATTTCTTTCACATCATTCTCTCTCTCTCTCTCTCTCCCTTCCTCCCTCCCTCCTTCCTTCCCTCCTTTTTCCACTCTTTCTTTAAAAATCAATGGAAAAATATCCTCGGATGAGAATCCTGATATATATAAAGAGCTAGGTGGCATCACGACTAAACAGGTGGCCGGTCTCCGTGCAGGTCCCCCCTCTCCCTCAGCCCCGGAGCCACTCACCATGCGGGGGCCTGTTGGCAGGGCGGGACTGGGGACTGTTGAGCAGCGATGGTGGGCTGCTTCCCAGGGTGGCCGTGAGCTTAGCGGAGCAGTCACCCAGGCGGAGCAGTGTGTGTGTGTGTGGGGGGGGGGAGTGCAGGGGAGTTTCGAGGAGCAGTTGAGGGGTCGGGAGCCTCATGGAGCAGTGGCGGGGAGGGAGAGCTTTGCAGGGCGGCAGCAAGCTTCCTGGACCAGTCAGGGGCCTCGGGCATCACAGAGCGTCCGGGGGCCAGGAGCTTCATGTAGCGTCTTTAGGGCGGCAGAGGCCAGGCGATGGAGGCCACGCTAGACCTAGGGACCCTAACCGTGCCTCTAGTTAAAAAAAATAAAAATAAAAATAAAAATAAATTTAAAAAAATCCTAGTACAAAAACACTCAGGTTTATTTATTTCTTTGGGTCTTCATTTTCTTTTGAAGGCCCCTGTGTTACATATAATATATATTAAATAAATGTGTATGCTTTTCTCTTGTTAATCTGTCTTTTGTTACAGAGACCCAGCTGAGAACCAAAAGGAGTAAAAGTAATTTTGCTTCTCCACAGTATCAAGGATTGCTTTTAATAGGTTAAGCTTCAAGGTCACACAGGGAGGGAGAGGGTGAAGGCAGTGAGATTCATGAGTAGAAGAGTGGCCTCCTTGCCCCCTCTCTCTTTTTAAAGAAATATATTTTTTTAAATATAGAAAGGGAGGGAGAGGGATAGAGAGTTAGAAACATCGATGAGAGAGAAACATCGATCAGCTGCTTCCTG